AAAAAACAAAAAAAGAAATGACTCATAGCTGATCCTCAAACGTATTTCCAAGATTGTAAACTGCACAGAATGAATCCATCTTTCTCCCATGGAGCTGCTGTTGGATTTGAACAGTCAAAAAGGTTTGGTCTCTGGATTAGCAATGCAACTCTCTACTGACTCCCCCACCAGAGCTCTATATATTCATATTGTTAGATGCCATCATGTCAACTGTAATTCATAGGAATCTAATAAACAACAAATCTGGACCTTGCTCAATCTACAACATCATCGTGATCTCTGCCACACCCAAGCTCACTCTTACAGACACTTTCCATTTCATTTAAGGTCTTTCTCCCTTTACCTGGCCTTTCCCAACAAGAAGTCTCTCTCTAAAAATAAGCTCCTTCTGCACAAATATGGGAGACAAAGTTGCACCATCTTTGCCTCCAAGGAACACTCTGATTGTACTTCTTCCAACATAGATCTGTTTGTTGCTTTCATGGTTCGTGATATATTCAAAACTCTTCTCCAGAATTACAATTCAAAGGTATCACTTGGTTTTCCTTACTCATTGTCCAACTTTCAGATACACAGGAAGTAACTGAAAATACAAAGGCTTAGATCAAGTGCACCTTAGTCTTCAAAGTGACAGTTTTGCTCAGTAACATTTTAAAGAGATCCTTAACAGTAGATTTCCCCAACACAGCACGTCTTTTGACTTTGTGACTAGTGCTACAATGAGTGTTGGTTGAAGATCTAAGTAAAATGAAATCCTGACTACTTCAATCTTTTCTTCATTTGTCATAATGTTGCCTATGATCAAGTAGGAAAGATTGTGGGATGACATCAAGGACATCATACATGGAAAAAAACCAAAAAGTCACTATAAAGACTGGGAAGAAAGACCAAAACAGGTATCACATATCAGGATGGGCAAAGGGGAAAGGCAACATACAACAAGAACAAGATTAGCACCACAGCACTAAAAAAGACACAGAGAGGTACACAAGAAATAGAGTCACTAGCAGATAGATAGGCAGACAGGCAGGATAAACAGATACTAATGGAAACAGAATTGCAGGTAGGAGGTAGGAAAAGGGTAATTACATTGTAGGGATTATAATTAGTGTTATGATGAAAAATTAGTGTGAAAACCTAATTTGACTTACAAAGTTTCACTCAAATCCAGTAAAGAGAGAAAGATATAAATCAATATATTGTAACAGGGTATAAAAAGGGCAAAGATGTCACCTTGAAGACTAAAGCACAAACTCAAGTCATGGTATTTTAATTGCATCATATGGATGTGAAAGGTGGGCAGTGCATAACTAAAAAAACCAAAGAACAACTCATGCATTTGAATTACAGTGTTGGTGAAGATATCTAAGATAGCCTAGTCTACCATCAGAACAAACAAATCTGTCTTGGAGGAAATACTGCCAGAATGCTAGTTAGAAGAGATGATGGCAAAATTTGTCTCACAGACTTTGGACATATTATCAAGAGGGGTCACGCCCTAGAGAAGGACATCATGTTTGGTAAAGTCAACAAAAAAGAGGATGCTCTCAACAAGACAGACTGGCACAGTGGTTTGTCACAATAAGATCACCGGCAATGACTGGGTGCACAGTGGAGGAACTGGCAGCGTTACTTTCTCTTGTGCACAGAGTTGGTGGCATCTAATAACAAATTGAGTTTCTCATTGATTACTAATTTGGCTTGTCATCATAGCTTTTTTACATATATGCTGAGAAGAGTTTTGTAATTCACCAGAATTCCAAAGAAAATGATGAGGGAAGGGAAGGCAGATTAGAAAAGTAAACAAATACAATACATAAAGCCACTATTTTATTTCTTTTCTATTGCCTCAATGAACTTTTTTTACAAAATCTCCCTATTTCATTACTCTAATGATCATTTATCACTTTCTGGTGTCCAGGACTTACAGATTAAAGCCATTGCAGTCAAATCTTAACTGAATCAAAGCTGACCCTCCAGTGGGTTTCTGAAGCTGTAAATTGACTGTCTTTCTCCCGTGGAGCCTCTGGAGGGCTCAGACTGCCCCAAGCCCCACCACTATAATTTCCTATAGATGACTGGCCACTAGAGCCCCCTGGGCTTACAGACTGCATTAAATTCAATTCATTCTAAAGAGAGGCAAACTTTTTTAATAACAGGTAATAGCAATCCTCATACTCTAACAAAACAATCTCTTTTTTTTTCAGATCAAACTTTTCGAACGGAAGATACTTGTCACTTTATATCTTCACTTTTCCTTCTATCATTCTAAATCCAATGGCACATTTAATTAAGTAAATTCAGTTGCAGAACAGAGAGGAGTTTGCCATGGATAGATGGGAGGGAATGGATCCAATACGAGAAAGTAGAATCCTGCAGCTTTTTGTGGAAAGTCCTTTTCACTTGTAGCAGAGACGCAAAAGGCCAATTCCTGATTCGCTAGTCCAGCATCTGATACCTTCAAGGAAAAGTTTCTCAAAGGCACAGGATCAACTTTGGCTAGCAGGCAGAGAAGTGCTGATGATACTGTCTGAACCTGCCACAACCTTCCACTCTCTGCAGGTAACAATGATTCTCAACTGGGTTTGCCTGGATGTCAAGTCCTTCAGTCATGACCTTTGTCACCCAAACCAAAGACAACCCCCTTCCCACTGCCTGAATGTTGAGGATACTTACCAGGCCACCGCAAAGGCTAAAGACAGCTGTGTGATCTTGCTGTGCGTTGACCTGGCCCCGGTAGAAGCAGTGGCGCAGGTCTGTGGGCTCTGCTCTGAACTCCTCTTCGCGGGACGCTGGGGCGCCCAAGTGCACCACTGAGAACCCGGGGGCCAGGAAGGCCGCATCTGCGCTCAGGTTCAGCTGGAAGAGTTGCCCATAGGCGCTGATGCGATAGTGGGTCCTGAAAGGAGTGGGTTCCTCCGGTGCCCCCGAGCTGCGCTTTCTCCGGCTGAAATGTTGGCTTTCAGGGAAGACTTCTCCGAACTCATTGACCCGAACTGGGGTCACCACTTCGTAGGAGGTCAGTGACCTCACCAGGGCTTCTGCAAGCACAGTGATAAGCCCATTTAGCCCCTACGCATTCCCAGCGCTCCAATGTCACACTTCATCAACTAAACGTCCCTGCCAAAGTTTCCAAGTTGTGGTACCCAAGGGTACAACACATGCACACATGCTGATTGGCACGCGGGCGGGCACACACAGACACACACTCACCCACTTGCAAAGCTCCTGCCATTCATGGTCCTGAGAAGCTCATCTCTTTCCCTAACCCCTCTCCGCGCCACTGCCTCTTTACATCCTCCGGTGCACGCGCCACCGTGCCCCACGCACCACTTTGCCCCATGCCTCCGCGTTCATGCCTGGGGGAGTGAGACCCATCCTTTGCAGGATCTGCAGATTTCCTCGAAACCCAGCATAGCCAAAGCCTCTTGAGATGCTTTGGGCTGGCTAATCCCGGGTCTCTCGAGTGCAGGGGCTGGGCTCCCCAGCGGGCTGAGCAGCTCTCCTCTGTCCAGTTCTCCCACTCGGGCCCTGAGTCTCCACCTCGCTACTGTAAGGCGCCCCGCGGTGACCTTACCTTGCCTCGGGTGAAAGTTAATTTCCCAAGACCTGAAGATGAAGAGCGAGAGCTGGTAAAGCAGCACCGTCAGCCACTTGGCCACCCTCATGGTTGCACTCGACCTCCGAGGCCAAGCGGAGCTGCTGGCCGCCCAAGTCGGCTTCCCTCCTCCTGTTCTGCAGTCTCTACTTCTCGCTTGCAGGTCCCCGCGGCGTCTCAGCAGCCTCTGGAGCAGCAGCCCTGGCCTTGCGCTAATCTGTCTCGCCACACACCGCCTAGTTCTGCGCCCTGAGCTGTTGCTTCATCACACTGCAGCGCCCTGCTAGCTCTCTCGGCAGCCTCAGTCCCCTTCCAGCGCCCGCACCGCCCTGGAGAACCTAAGCTCGGGGAGAGCACTGTGAGGAGACTCCCCGACCTAGCAGGAACCGTGCCAATAATTTAGCCACCCCCGGCAGTGCGGGCGGGGACGCGAGGGCCCGCCCCGGGAGCCGGGCCGGCCAATCAGCGGGAGGCGCGGCCCGGGCTTGCCCTCCGGCGCGGCGCGCAGCCTCTGCAGCCGTCCGCACAGTGTGATCCCTGGGGGGCTGCTGCCGAGGGCTCGCAACGTGGTGTGTGTCCAGAGAGCCAGGCTGCTCTCCAATCCCATATGTAGAAAACTCGGCGTGGATACAGGGTGCCATACTAAGGTCTGGGTGGGTGATCAGTGCGTGAAGTTTTTTTTTTCTTCTTCTTACAGTGCAATGACACGCATCAGTTTGAAACTGTTCTTTAACTTCCATGGCAATCTTAGATTTCTCAGATTGTGTAAAATGAGTGGCAGGGAAGAAGCTCCAGGGCGTAGAGGAAGGTTTGCTGTGATGCTAATGAAGCCTAATTCCAAGGCCTCTCCTTTGCAAGGAAAAGTCTGAGATAGGGAGAGGAAGTCGAGGTTGGTCTCTGCACTTCTGGACTGGCTGTGTTTTATTCTCTTCTTCTAAGTGCACGTTTTTGTACTTATTTTGAATAACGAAAAACCAAACCAGTTGAAGTGGGTTTGGTTTCCATGTACCATAGCTGTGACTTTTCAAAAGCAGGCGGCGAAAAGCCTTTTTTGTGAGGCACCTCTGGGTAGATTCCAACCGCTGGCTTTCGACTTAGTAGCTTTTCAACCCCTTATACTACCAAAGAACTGCTTGGTTTTGTATAAAAGATCCCCAGAAAATATAAACATCAAGGAACACTAAACTTGGATGTTACTCAGACTTGTAGGATGTTACTTTTACGAGATTTTCTGTTTATACAGTATTAATACCTCTTCCTTCTCTAAAATCCTAACATTCCACACATCTACAGTTTTCCCCACCTCATACTGTAGATGAGAACCAATTGTGTCATTTGCTATCTTTGAAATTACAAAAATTTTGGTAGCATCTGAAGTATACTTTTCAACATTACATTCTCATTTCTCAAATTCCACGCAGGTTATTGGAAAGATCCATCTTTACTTTTTCTCAGTCACAAAAGAAAAGAGTGGTCTAATTGCCTTGAAATTCAACCAATGGAGAGGAAATGTATGGGAGAAAAGTAAATGAATGTATGGGCAAATCTTCACAAACACAAAGGAATACATTTTCAACTTAGCTCCTGGCTGCCCTTTCTCCTCGAGCCTCCAACAATGGATATTCTGTTCTCTCTGAATTGACCTCTGATGGCATGCTTCTTCACTTTTATGTCATACACTTGGTACATCTGTTGTTCACTACAAATGTAGAACAATCCTGTTCAATGAAGGCGAGTTTAATCTTAACATCTCCCAGAGAAATAGCCCAGCTTGTTGGTGTTGATTGTTACACAATCACACTCTTTCTTTTTGTACTCCTCCCTCACAATTGTCATTTCATTCAGCAAGTAACTAGACTTCTGGCCTTTGTTTTTCTGTTTTGCTTTTCTATGCTAAATATATTGTTATAGACTCTAAACGAAATCAAAATTGGGCTTGACTTACACCTGCCTGTTTAGTAGTTACCTTCAGTACATTATAATTTAGCCATTTTAGTTACACTGCAGTTATGAATGGGCTTTTATACTAGGAGCCATGCCTCTCCTCATACAAATAACAGAAAATAGAACTGCACCTGTTTAATTGGCTAGCTGACCGCTGGCTGCAAGCGAAACAGCTATTTCATATACTCCACTGCATGTTTGTCACTCAAAGTAGTCTCCTACTTTGAAAACTTCTCAGTTTTCATCCTGCTCTTAAAAAAAATAAGAATGGAATATATTATTCTTTTTTAAAAGAAATGAGAAGATATGTGGAATATGTATTCTTTTCACTTTAATCTTTTAACATTCACTCAACAATACTATTTTCCTCATTTTACAAGAGGTAAATATTACATTTTCCAGTTACATCTATGTAATTAACTAGATTTCGACCTTACTTTTCTAATTATAAGTGTTTTCATTATGGTGTTGTTATTGTTATATGCTGTCAAGTTGTCTGCAACTCATAGTGACCCTATTGTGTACAGTAGTTCTGAAACCTGGCCTATCCTGAGCCAATCTCACTGACTCCAACACACCTACCCCACTACCCCAGTCACTGAATCAGTCCATCTCATTTAGGGGCGTCCTCTCCTGAACTATCCCTCCACCAGTCCAAGAACAATTTCCTTTTCCAAGGACTGATCCCTTTGGTCACATGCTCAAAGTATGTGAGACAGAGGTTAATAATTCTTGCCTTGAAAGAATCAACTAGATTTCACCCTCTCCAGGACAAACATACTTCTTTTCTTGGCAGTCCAGGTATGTTCAATACTTCTCCAGCTCCACAAACTCAAAGACATTCATTCTTCTTAGTCATTGTTGAGAGCTCTGAGGTACAGCACATAACTGCAAAGGTGATAGACTGATATTATTTTTCTTCAGTATTCTGGAGAGGTCTCTAACAGCATATTTCTCCGGTGTAATTTGTCTTTTGATTTCCTGATTGCTGGTGCTAAGTGTGTTGGTTGTAGAGCCAAACAAGTTGAAATTATTAGCAATGTCCATCGGGCAGCATGGGAAGACAAAATAAAGTATCATAATGAAATGTGCAAGGAGCTGGAGTCAGAAAATCAAAAGAGCCAAACTCGCTCAGCATTTCTTAAGCTGAAGGAACTGAAGAATAAATTCAAGCCATGAGTTGCAATACTTAAGGATACTTTGGGCAGAATATTAAATTATTTCAGAAGCATTAAAAGAAGATGGAAGGATTATATAGAGTCACTGTACCAAAAGAAATTGGACGACAAAGAAGAATTTCATGAAACAACGTAGGAGCAAGAGCTTGTGGTGATGAAGGAAGATGTTCAAGCTGCTTTCATGGAATTGGCGCACAAACAAGGCCACAGGAATTGCTGGGATGTGCTTACCAAGTTGTGCCAAGAAATCTGGAGGAAAAACTACCTGGCCAACTGATTGGAAGAGATTCATATTTGTTCCCATTCCAATGAAAAGTGACCCAACAGAGGGCAGAAAGTATCGAATAATATAATTAATATCACATGTAAGCCAGATTCTGATGAAAATTATCCAAAAATAACTGGAACAACACAACAACAGAAAACAACCAGAGGCACAGGATGTGTTTACAAGAGGCCATGGTAGTAGGGATATTACAGCTAATGTTAGATGGATCTTGGTTGAAAGCAGAAAGTACCAAAGGAAAGTCTACCTGTGTTTCGACGACTATGTAAAGGCCTTTGTGTGGATCACAACAAACCGTGGTTGACTCTGAGAAGAATAGGAATCCCAGAACACTTAATTGTGCTTACATGAAATCTAAATTTAGACCAGGAGGCAGTTGTCAGAATAGAACAAGAAAACACGACATTGTTCAAAATCGGGAAGGCAGTACACCAGGAATGTGTCCTGTCTCCATACCTTTTCAATCTATATGCAGAACAGATCATCCAGGAGGCTGAACTCTATAAGGAGGAATGTAGTATTAGGATTGGAGAAAGACTCATCAACAACTCGTGTTACACAGATAACACAACCTTGCTTGCTGAAACTGAGAAAGACCTGAAGGACTTGCTTCAGAAAGTCAAGTACTGCAGCCTTCATTATGGATTGAAGGTAAATATCAAGAAAACAAAGATTCTCACCCTGGGCTGATTGGCAATATCATGATAGATGGTAAAGAGATTGAGATTGTTAACAGCTTCAGTTTGCTTGGCTCCACAATCAACTCTCTTGGTACCAGCAGCCAGGAAATCAAAAGACTAATAGTGTTGGGGGAGATCTGCTGGCAGGGACCTCTCCAGAGTACTAAAGAGCAATAATGTCAGTCTGGAGACTAAGGTGTGTCAGATTTAGGCCATGGTCTTCACAGTTATGTGCTATACATCAGAAAGCTGTAAAATGACTAGAAATGACAGGAGAAGAATTGATGCTCTGAGCTGTGGTGCTGGAGAAGAGTATTGAGTACACCATGGACAACTAGGAAAACTAGCAGGTTTGACCTGGAGAGGGTTAAACCAGGCTGCTCCTTGGAGGCAAAGATTCTGAAGGTTTGTCTGACATACTTTGGGCCTGTTGCAAGGAGGAATGAGTCCTTGGAGAGGAACATTGTGCTTGGGAGGTGGAGGGACACCACAGGAGAGGGAGACCCTGGATGAGATGGATTGACTCTCAGTGACTGGGGTAATTGGGAGTAGGTATGTCAGAGATGATAAGGCTGCTCAGGATAAAGCAGGTTTCAGAGCTGTTGTACATAAGATTGCTATGAGTTGCAAATTACTTGATGGTTGTTGTTGTTGTTACATGCCATCGAGTCACTTGGGACTCATAGCGACCCTATGTACAATAGCTCTAAATGCTGTTCTATCCTGTGCCAACCTAGCCATCTCAAACATACTTATTCCCACCGCTCCAGTCACAGAATCAATCCACCTCATCAAAGATTTTCCTCTCCTTCGCCACCCTTCCACTCTGCCAAACATGATGTCCCTCTCCAAGGACCAGTCTCTCCTGGCAACATGCCCAAAAAATATGTCAGACGAAGCTTCAGAATCCTTGACTCCAGGGAACACTCTGGCTTCACCCTCTCCAGGACAAACCTATTTGTTCTCCTAGCAATCCATGGTA